TTKGSAMYTKRAARWYCMRKTTTTYCYTTTTTTTGTGCARYTGCTCTGCMCTTCAGGGACTGCTCAGCTCATCTTTCCTAGCTGTTGGATTTTGAAAGGCTTTGAACTAGGAGTATCCCAGCTAGAGAATGTGGAGTCTGTGAAGGAAGAAAACTAATTTATTTTGTGAAAAATTACTAAAAGATTTGTCTTTGCAAGAGAAAAATAAATCTGAAAGAATTGCTTCCAGCAGTTGGGTAGATCTGTTTGAACATCTGCAAATGGAACTTCATAGTCCTGTTGCTTAGTAATGAGTCTCCWTACTTTTCTGAACAAAAATGTCTCTTGTGTAACCAGTTTCTGTTACAAATGGGAACCTGCCCTGAGAGATCCCAGCCCTTGTACTGTCTTGGAAAAGGACAACAGCCTGCAGCTGACAGCATTATAGTCTTTGCTAAGCAGAAAACAAGTCAGTAATAGTATCTACATGGCACTGAAACAATGTTTTCATGCAAAGAGACGTTTTTAAAAATCTACACTTAATGACTATGTCATGAGTTTGGACAAATGGTACTTGGCTGTCAGATCACACTTTGACTGATGTCCAGCTGCAATAGTGGCTGGTGTTCTCCTCAGGGGAGCTGGAGCTGGGCAGGAGCAGTACAGGTCAGAGGAAGGGTTTGCTGTGAGTGCTGGCCAACCAGTCTGCTTACCAGAGTCTGTCCAGAGGAGTTCAGCAATGAAATGCCACCATTTACTTGGAGTATATTTTGTTTGTTTTAGCAGGACATTCAGCAAAAAGTCACAATGTTTAATATTGTCCGTTTTGTTGAGAGGCATGTACACTGGAATCACGTGCAAAAAAAAAAAAATAAATCCAGAATTAACCGGTTTGTGTTTGGTCAGCTGAAGAAATGCAATGCACCTCCTTTTTAAGGCTTCGTAAGATGACTTATGTATTATACCTGAAGAGATGAACACATGCCCTCCAAAATAAAATCCTGTTAACAGTGGGTCATTTTCTATTTTCTAAAGCAATCTGTAAGACAAGATGAATTCCCCTATTCCTTTGCAGAGCACTTCAGTGTATTTTTATAATAGGTTTKCTTTCATTTTCAGAAAAGTTTGTTCTTGACAAGTAATATAAGCAGAAGAACTACCTTCATTTATGGGATTGATATTGTTTAGCAGCACATGAGTGATAAAATGTTCCCATGTCAGTTGAAAAGAGGAAAATACAATTGTGGCTTAAGTTTACACACTGTGCAAGGAGTGTATAGAGTCAGGGATGAAAAGTTGCTTAGATGATGTTTTGTTGAGAGTCACATGTCCTGACCAATCTGCTATGCTGTCCACTGAAAAAGGCACATCCAACCTCATCAAATGCTGATGATTTAAACACTTTTTGAGCAGTAATATTGCAAAAAAAATCATAGTGGTCAGGAAATAAAAGGACTCATGCATGCATGAAAGCTGTGAAATAAGATCTTTTTTCAGCTTTTTATTCCACACTTTCCTTTGGGGAAAAAATGAAAAACCCAAAAGACAGTAACAGCAAATTGSACTGATCCATTGTTAATAAAAAGCACAAAATTGAAGTGTCAGATGAAGATAGATGAGGCCAGGAAGAAAATACTTTAAAAGTTTGAGAARTAATAACACAATTCATTCAGTTCCTATAAACAATGTCTTTGAACTACTGGAGGTGGGATAATTAAAGGAGACTTTTSGACTGGGAAAAGTAAGCTGCTCTTTAAGGCTGATAACTACATTCTCCAGTTTCAAATTAAAAACAAGATCTGTCTGTATATTTTAGAGATTCCAAGGGTACCAAAACCTCTGCATTGAAGGGATGGTCACATGTGATCMGTTAAAGAATCTTAGCCACAGTACTACATGTCAGTGAGCCTAAATYTGTGCAGCACCTATGGATTAGCAATGGGAAATAAGGTGCATATGGATATGTACAAGCTGGAGAGATTTCTGTTAGAAAAACTTCGTAATACTTTGTTATATTTGTAGCAAAAAGGTTGTAGATGAAGATTGTCCTTGTAGTCTGAAAACAGTGTATTTGGGGATGCTTCCTGTTACTGCTTTTTCTTTCAGTGACACAGCATCCTTTTGTGGAAGTCTTTGAAGCAAGGAGGATTTTACATGGTGTCCCAATGATTCATTTAAATTGCAGGTCTTGTTGACTTGGTCATAGCCACATGACACAAATATAATTATTTTAGTATGCTTAATGATTGCATAGGATCCAAAAGTGGCACAGGATAGAGCTCAGTTCTACATAATCACCCTTTAAATTAGACATGTAGGTCACTGAGATGCTATGCTGTGAGTTTAGTGGTGCTGGYCATTCTSTCTTTCCGCATAGTGCACATAACATTCACAAATGTGTTACATTGTGTTTCTATARGGCTAATCAATAGTKCATTGTGTTCMACCACACAGTGCAATAGCACATTTTAGATGTTTTTCCATCGGTACTTTAATATACTTGACTGTAGAAAATGTCCTTTTAGCACTATTTTATATTTTGGAAAGCGAAGGGGATGTTTATTTTCGTTTTCAGCATATGTCCACCTGAAATTTATATATAAAAACCCAATTTTTTACAAGAGCTTTTTTTATTCTAGGTACTATTTTATACCCTTTATCTCTGTTCAATTTCAAAACCTACTTTTTTTGTACATATCTTCAAGTATAAATATTTGCTTCAGAGGAAAACTGTATTAATATAATCACTCCCTTCTGCACTGTGGTGACTTTCTTTAAGCAGAGACCTGTGAAAGCTCTGAAAAGGCAGACCTGCTTGATTTGCTGATAAGATTACATGCTGGATTTAATTTGGTTACGTTTCCAGATGAACTCCTGGTTGTCTGTCCTTTGATATCCAGATCCCTTTCAGTTGCACCATTCTATAAGTTCCAGATATTATATTTCAAAAAACTACAAAATAGCCGTATTACCTATATTTTGATTTACATATCTTTGGGAAGGTTGCTTTTGGTTCTTCCACCTTGACTACTACATTCTAAGTTACCCTGAAAATTACAGAGTGCACAGGCTTCAGTGTGTGTGGTTACAGTTGGGAAATCAAGAGGGTTTAGCAGCTCTGTAATTACTGACTCTTTGTCAGTGTGGGTGCAGTCCTTCCGATSCACCACCTCATGGTGTTCTCTGGCACTGCTGCAGTTCTGAGTAGCSTATCTGCCTGAAGATACATAGAAAAACCGTGTACTCATAATTTAAAAAAAATACAGCACATCACGAAGGTATCTTTAAGTCAGTAACATGAGATCTGCTGACCTTTCTGAGAGAAATGTGAYGGGGCTTTGCTTGAACAGATGTCTGGCTACAAAATGAGAGCATGATACCRTCAGTCATTTTTAGCAAACATAATGCCACTGACTCTTTTGGCCAGAGTTTGTGACTGTGATCAGTGGAAGCGTCTGGGTGGTAGAGTGTTTTGGGTAGGTTTTTTTTTACAGTTACTAGGCAACAGTTTATATATTTACTCAGTTATAGAAATGATGCAATAGGCAGTCAGAAGGATGTGAGTAATTTATTTTTTTGTAACACCCTCAACCTTATTGACAGTAGTTTTAGAATGAAGTGTAGCATTGTATATCATACTAAGGATAAATGATGGGAGCATAAAATGTTTTCTTTTCTAAATGATCCACAAAAGCCTTTAAAAGTAATCAGAGACATTTGGCTGCCTATCCCCAAAGGAGCACCCGGACAGCAGTACCCAAAGCTGTTTTGGCAGGAAGTATAGAGTTCATGTTTAAGTTGTGTATTAAGGTACTGTGAATAACCCCACTAATATTATGCTGAAATAGTTTTTATATTCTTGGTTGGCTTATGTCATAGTGAAGCACTTCACTTTCATCACATTAGAAAACTAATTTCTCTGGAGTGTGCATCACTGTGTGCCTGTTTCCTTTTGATCTAATGCAGGTTTAATAGTTATCTCTGTTTTTACAGGGCCATGACATATCTCTCTATCTCTGTGCACATACATTATATGTTGATGTTCCTCCTTTCTTTTTTACTCCCCTTTCACCAGGACCTGTTGTTTCCCCCTTGTTCAGCCTTCTGGACTGTGGGTAACACTGCCATTTGAGTGGGCTCGGGCTAAAGAGACAGGAATTATAGACATCACTAAGGCTGGTAGTTGTTGGGAGATATAAACAAGAAGAGGCAGCATGTGCATCTGATTGTCACACTGAATATCAGCAAGCTGACTTTCTTACACCTCTAATTGCCCAAGATCAGAATAAGGCTTCAAAATAGTATCTGGTGTTCCTTGTTAAATAGAAAATTGTGGCTACTGTAGAACTGACAAAAGTGTCTCATGATTTCTTGTGACCTAGAAGCAGCTGCCAAGTATTCTTTTGTGGAGTYCAGTAGTGGGTTTGTAAAGTTCTGAAGCAAATTTCACTTGTACCTTCCACTCCTCCTGCTTGTCTTGTCAGTGCTCCACATGTGGACCACAGGGCCAAGGCTTATAGCAATGTCTTATCTGCACTGTAGTTCACGCTTTCAACAACTTGGCTAAATAAAGCATCACAAGCAAACAAACAAAGCAACTCCAAAGAACTTTCCCTGCAAACGTGTACTTTTTCTTCATAATTTGCACTTTATTTTGAATTGTTATTAGTTATCCCATTGTGCCTTGTTATATCTCCTCCTCTTTAATCTATATTGTCTTGATATTAGCAGTTAGCATATGTGAAAATMGGTTGCATTTTTATTGTACTTTATGCTTTCATCTTGTCCCTCTCTCTGTTTTTCCTATTAGCTTAAAATAACTAAAGTGAATATCTACAATTGTCCTAGGCGTTTCAAAGCTCTAATTTGATAGTAGGCATCAGGCCTCTTTATATTGTGCTTCCACAAAGTTCCACTTTACTTGTCAACAGTTTTAAATAAAGGGTAGAAGTAAAAATCTGTAAAAGGAATTTGTTATTCAGAACAGTGTCATAATAGTAGTTTTCAGTACTGGAATAAATGGGCAGCTCTTAAAATACTTATTATAATGCTGTAGAATGGTTTATAAAAGCTGGAATCAGTGTTTCTTTAGGGGGAATAGCCTATCCATAAAAATTGCAGTTCCCATAAGCCAAAATCCTTGTATAATACTTTTCTGAAGMCGCTAATTATCAGAGATGATGGAAATTGCTGTTGTGGGTGGGATGCAGACAGAAAGTTCTGTGTAACCCTGCTCATCCCTCCAGTTGGGTCACTCCAGCTGGGTTCCTGCAGTGATCTCAGTAAATTTCCTTATGGTTTTATTTACATCCTGTGTCAGGGGCAAAYATCTGCATTTAGTGCCTTGGGTGGCTGGGGAATTGAAGAAGTCACCTAGTCCCAGACACGGGGCTCTTATCCTATGCATTTCAGACTCTGTTTTAAATAGTTCATTGGGTTTTTTTGTTTTTGGTTTTGTTTTGTTTTTTTTTTTCTCACAGGGGAGGCAAAACCCCTCACCCTGTCTATTTTGTAATGTAAGAAGAAATCACACCACTGCAACACTACAAATACAATAATGCAGTCAGGAGYAGGGCGCCAGTCTTGGGGTTTGGATATTAATGAGTCTTATACCATGGCTGAGGGTGCAGGTTCCTGTAGTTCGCGGTGCCCCGGACAGTGTGGCGTGTCCCCTTCGGGCAGTGTCTCTGTGTCCCCTGCGGGTCGTGTCCCCTTCGGGCAGTGTCTCCTCCGGGTCGTGTCCCCTTCGGGCAGTGTCTCTGTGTCCCCTGCGGGTCGTGTCCCCTTCGGGCAGTGTCTCTATGTCCCTCTGGGCAGTGTCTGTGTGTCCCTCCGGGCAGTGTGGCTGTGTCCCCTGTGGGCAGTGTCTCTGTGTCCCCACCGGGCAGTGTGGCTGTGCCCCCCGTGCCGCTCCCGTCCCTCTGCCGGCGCTGCCGTCCCCGGTTGGTCCCCGCGGGGCTGTGCCACCACCTCGTGGCGAACGAGGACAGCCGGGCGGCAGGGAAAGGTCTCCGCGGGTGTGGAACTGCSCATTTTTGACCGAAATTGTGTCTTTTTTACAAAAACGAGACTGCGGACACCGTGTAGCTGATAGGAGTCGGGAGTTTGATCTGTCCGTGTGTGTGTCCCCTTATGGCTGTGCACCGACCCTTGTAAAGTAATTTTTTCATAATGTGATTTTTATTTCTCTTGTAATTCAATCCACCTGTGACAAAATGTTTACTCTGAAGGCAGTGATGCATTAGACATGTAATGGGTTATATATGTCAGTAAAATGATGGATTTGCTCCTGGCTGGCTTGCATTCACTGCGATCGAAGTTGTGTGTACTCAGCAGTGCATTATGCACGAGGTAACTCRATAAAGCTGGTGTGGAATTTACTTCAGATTCTCAGTGTTTGCACGGTGGTTAATCTGTTCCTTGTACAACTTTGATCAGACATTGACTGGCCTGTGTATGTCTTTATTATTACTTGTTTCATAAAACGGCTTTGTTTAGACATTTTGTTTACTCCACAAAGGTGTATGATGTGACCATTYAAGCTCTATATTGTATAAACTGATCTACCCCAGATGTGATACACATATATGCTATCTCATGGTTTTCAGAAAATTCTTTGATACAGGGTTTTTTAGGGTGGTTGTTATTTTATTAAGAGTACTGAACAGTCGTAAGATCAGCTTTAGAAACAATCATTTCAATATAATAGAAAAATTAAAACTCAGTAGGAAAAGTAATGTAAATAGCAAGACTTCAAGAGCAATTTTTTTTTCCTTTAGGTTGGGTAACAATTTCATCATCATAGTTCGCAGAACAAGTTAAAAAATAGAAGAGAAAAAGCACAAAGGCTATATGCTTAAAGTGAAATTAATTAATATGTATGGCCATCTTGTGGCAGTGAAAAGTATTGTGGTATATTTTTTAAAGAAGAAATAATGTTAAAAAACCAAGTTTGGAGTCTGTTGTTTGATTTAGAGATTTAGATTTGGCAACTTTGCTTTGAATTCAGTGTTTTCATGTGGCCAGAATAAAAAAGAAGTCATTTTTGTATGGACTGAAAATTGCTACTACTGCCCAGATTTTTTTTTTTTTTTTTTTTTTTTTAGCTAAAATAGGTCAAGTTAGCCCAATGTAAAATACACAGAAGCAAGCACAGGTGTCTCTAGCATAGCAGCAGTCATTGGATTGCCAGAGGCTATGGCTTTACAAAGTGATGTTTTCAACCAGTTTCAACTTTCATATGAACTGTAAACAAAGTTGGGTATTTTTGTTTGTTTTACTCAGCTGGAAAGTCACCGATTCCAGTCAAGACTACAGACTCAGAATAAATCAGTGCATTTCAGAAACACTGATGACTTTATTTGTATTTCTTCAAGAAATGTCCCACTTTAAGGAACAAAACCCTGGCAAGGTAAGCACTCCCCATTGAGATTAACAGTTCTACATGATTTAATAAGGAAGTGAGGTAGATTTATAAAAAATAAANAAAAAAAAAAAAAAAAAAAAAAAAAAAAAAAAAAAAAAAAAAAAAAAAAAAAAAAAAAAAAAAAAAAAAAAAAAAAAAAAGAGAGCAAGCAAAAAAATTCCAAAAAGAAAATGTACATTCTGATACGGTCAGTCATGGGTTTCTGCTAACTTTTGTTTTTGCTATGAAGAATATGGGTAGGTAGTCAGTGAGAAAAGCTGTTCACAGTAACGTTTGTAGCAATACAGTCCATCCACTTACAGCTGTTGGAACTTCACCAATTATTCCATGGACTTTTAAACAAAAATTTTAAACATCACAATTTAATAAAAACTTGAAGAAGCAAAGAAATAACATAGGCCTGTTCCTAAATATAAACATGTTATTTTTTTTCAAATAACTATAGTTTTCAGGAATAGCTGCACAAAGAGTGTTCCTCATACGTGATTGTGGTAATTTTTCTTCTATACACCTGTCATTGGTGACTTTCCCTTTTTTTACTGGAAAGACTGAGCTGGAGAGCCCAGCTCATGAAGAGACAAACAGAAGTACAGCTTTTTTTTTTCCCTCCAGCTAGGAAGAATATCATTATTTAGTTCTAGTAAAAGTGAAGCCCTTCTTTTTCTCCCAAAGAAAAATATAAATAATGTAGAAGTATATTATGATAATTGTAGATTACATTTTTATATTTGTATTGCTAAATACAAGTTAAAAGAAGGCTACAGGGGTTTTTCTCCTCTTTTAAACTCCTTTAATTTTGCCAGAAAATCTTCCCTGAAAACAGTCCATTCAGAATTAGCAAATAGAGAGCATGTGGAACCATTCTCAAATATAAGCAGTTGAGACTGAAAATGCAGATGAGCAACAGGATGAAATATCTCTAGAAAAAAAATAAAAGAATAAATTATATGAAGAGTATGTTTGGAGTTAGATTTAAAAGAAGTAAGGTTATAGTGAAGTAAGGAAATGGGGTATCAGTTATGTGGTAACATGACAAAGCAACTGTATGTTAAGAGATATCTAACACTGGTTTAGAAAAGSTAATTTTGATAGCGTGTTTTCCCTTCTTTTTCCTGACCTCATTCTCTAAGCCATGTCATTATTTTACTGCTATAATTGGAAACAAATTAAGCAATAATGCTGTGTGCAAAATTTCTTTGAATTAACCATTTTATTGCAATTCAGCTCCAAAAGCAATTGGATCCTTTCTGCAAACTTTCAACAGATCAATTGTGTATTCAGCTCTGTGCAGTTGTGAAAGATGCACTGTGATGTCTCAGTCACCATAAGGGCCAAATCCCAAATTTTATATGGAAAATTTAGCTCAGTCTTGTCATTAACAGGGGTGCTAGAGTAGCCAACAAGCATCAAGGGAATGCTTGCCAGCATATGAGAGAAAAGAGTTTCACAAAGCAGCACAACAGGGGAGAGAGAGCTGTAGCTAGAGGAAGGATGTTTCGTTTTTGTAAGCATGCTGCAAGCATGCATTGTAATATTGCAATTAGTGAGTTGTGTTTTTTCCTGCATATAAACTGTCCAGTCTTTTTTCATGCAATGAGGGTGTAATTTCTAGTAATTTTGCAATAAACATGAGCTCATTAAAGCTTTGCAGTAAATTATTAAAAATAGCATGGTTTTATGATAGAAGAGGGGATGCATCCTAATTATCCCAAATGGACTGTTTGATGCTTTTTTTTACCAGAAGTGTTAAAAGTATTTCCCATTTTTTGAAAAACAAACTTCAATTTCACACTGCGTTGTAGATTTCATTAGCATGCAACATGTCTTTTGCAAAATGCTCTAATCATTTAAGTGAATGTGTTAATGGTCAATTTTGATGTTTTTGCCAGTTTTGCCTACTAGTCTGCAGCATATGTACATTTTTCACTGTCTTGGGAAGTTACATTCCTGGAGTTGTCCTCTCTTATGTCTTGTGTAAGTATGGTCTCTTTTTCAGTCATGATTTGTGTATGTGTTCATTATTTGGTYTCTGTATAGGGAGTGTTTATTTATTTATATATCTGTTTACACACGTGCAAGTTTCCAGAAGACACCAATCTCTGTGGTGTAGTGACAGGTCTAAGGGACAGGATGCCATCTGGAGGGACCTGAACAAGCTCAAGGAGTGGTCCATGGGAATCTCATGAGGTTTAATGAGACCAAGTGCAAGGTGCAACTGGGTCAGGGCAGCTGCCGGTACCAACCCAGGCTGGGGATGAGCAGACCCAGAGCAGCCCTGCTGAGGATTTGGGGATGCTGGAAAGGCTGAGACATGACCCAGCCATGTGCACTCACAGCCCAGAGAACCAAACGTGTCCTGGGCTGCATCCAAAGCAGCGTGGGCAGCAGGGGAGGGAGGGGATTCTGATCCTCTGCTCTGCTCTGGTSAGACCCCACCTGSARYRCTGCATCCAGATCTGGGGACACAGCACAGGAATGACAGGGACCTGTTGGAGTCCAGAGGAGGGACATGGAGATGATSAGAAGGCTGGGGCACCTCTCCTATGAAGACAGGCTGAGCAAGTTGGGGCTGTTCAGCCTGGAGAAGGGAATACTCRGGGGAGAAGCCTTTCAGTTCCTACAGGGGGCTTATTAGAAAACTGGAGACAAATGTTGGAGCAGTGCCTGTTGCAACAGCACAAGAGGCACTGGTTTTAAAATGAAGGAGGGTCAATTTAGATTAGATCTAAGGAAGAAATTTTTTACAATTTTTTGTCATATGGAAGTCAGTTTACAGTTCTTTCAGCATGTTGATTCTGGCACAATGTTTCATAGTCATGTTTGTCAGATCAAGATACCAAAATCAGTCTAAGTCAAGGTAATGATAAATGTTACAATGACCATAAATCATGTCTTACTGATAGTAAAAAAAATGCCAGTTGATATGAATATAATGGTACTTTCTGTGATGAGTAGGAATGGGTCCTGAAAACTGGATTTGACCTTAACAGTTTGTCTACATGGGCACTTCACAGTGTATTTTTTATGTAAAACTAATTGTATTTTGTAACATTAGTAGTAATCTAATGCAAAGGCATTGTTTAAGCTTTATTGAGAAACTTCTTGTACAGCAATATTTCAATACAAATTTTCTCTGTCTTCATTTTTATCACAGTATTGTGTGCCTTTTTGTGTCCCTTCCTTAAGTGCAATGAATTTGGACAGAAATTGTGCAGTAAAATTAAGGCTGTTCTGATGAAACTGGATTTTGGACTAGTGGAATATATCAACCAGAAGAGAAAAGAGAGAGCTGGTGAGTAAATAGTTATAGTCCCAAATAATGTATTTCTGTATATAGCAAATTTTATTCACCTTGCAGTTTGGTTTATCCTGAGAAGCCAACTGTAAAGATAATTCTTGCTTTGAACCTGGCTACTGTTACTAGCTTTATAAGAAGTGACAGTGTATGTCAAATGTCTGGGTATGATGCTAAAAAAAATTACTGCTTTATGGAAAGAAACAAGRCAAGCTCTTTGTATATGATTAGATGTACTGCTTATAAGTTTTCAGAAAAAAACTACTTGCTGTATGCTTGCAGTGCTTATCTCTGTTTAGATAAGGCAAACTTGCCCAGGAGAGAGATTCGCTCAAGAGTCCCAAAATAAGAACATAACAGGAGCTTCAGTAAGAGACTAAACTCTGTTCCGGTATCTAAATCTGCATTGGTTTCACTCCCTCCAGCAAAAAAGAATTCMTTTTCTTCTCCAAATACTCAAAAAGCATATAAGAATTGCCAYGGGATARCAGCTACTAAATAATCRAWGTTTTTAGGTGGAAAGGRGAGAAATCAATTTAAAACAAAATCWCACCTATCTCACCTGAAATTTTTCTGATACTGGAAACTTTTATATTTTATGCAGTAAAGCTATTTCAAGAAAAATATGTATATGAACAGTGTTACCTTTAGCTTGTTTTTTGCATGTGTTCCAGTTTTGGTAATTAAACATTTGTAGTGTAGTCACACTACTTGCAGGTAGCCTACCCTTTTTAATTAGTGCTGCATCAATGGACTTAATATCCACTTTAAAACATGCATTTCTTCTAACCATTCATCATACAATGTACTGTTCCTAGACCCAAGGAGAGCCACCATGTGTCTTTGCCCCTTCTCTTACATGTATTTATTGGAAATAAATAATGCATTGGAAAWTTTCTTTCATGTATTATTCTATCTTGTTCCATTCTTAAGTGAAACTGGCAGAGAAAAAGATCAGGCTATAGTTTAATAAGCCAGCACTGGGAAAATGGTTTACGTTAGATGTGTTYTTTCCTACATCTTGTCCACCAGTTGAATTTAACTCAGTCAAGTTCCCTACCTTGCTTTGCCTTTGGGTTCACCACTGGGTTTCACAAACCCTTGTGTTGGCACAAGAAAGGAATTGAGCAAGTTGCAAGAAGCAGCCACCAAGAACACCATGGCTGTGTTTTTCATTTTATATTGGTTTAAAAGAGTCTCAGGTGGAGGAGGCAAAATTTGTGTCTCTGCTTGTCTGTAAAGAGCAACATTCAGAGGATGCTTTGTATGCATATTTGCATATGACTGTGAATGCAGGGTAAGAAGGGTTTTGTGACTGAAGATTACATGCAATTATTAAGAAAATTGCATGTTTTCATATAAAAGTAATGTGGTGGGGTAACTATACAGCCTGTTCTAACAACACRTTACACCTGTGCCTTGTACCAGCAGTGTAGTCTAAAAGAGAGGTGTATATTGCCAGGGCAGATGAAATTAGGGTGAGCAACAGAGGCTCCTGAAGGAGGTACAATGCAGGTAAATAAATCTGTTGGAATGCATTCAGAATAACCTTCTCTTTCCCACTTTGGTTGCTGTATTTTGACAAGCAGCCAGTGTCTAGTCAGGCTTGTTTCCCTGGCCTTAGCAGCATAGTCCATAAACGATGCAGTGTTTCAGCAGATGGAAGGTTATTGTGCTACACAAGCTGTGTGACAGAGAACACACACTGAACCTGGAAATCCATTGTCATGAGCAGGATAAAAAATATATCTTTTTTCTTTCAGAAACAGCAAAAACAAAACTCACAGAAGATGACAGTGAATTAGACATATCAGCTCTGTGTCCTAAGGTGACTTCTTTTCAGTCAGCCCTCTCTTGCTTTTAAAATCTATATAGATAATGGGAGACTATCTAGATTGCTGTCTCTGTTCTTCTGTGGAAGACTTTAACCTCCCTAGGAGGCTGTGCTCCTGAACTCAGCAGTATGCTTTASAAGTGATTCATAGTCTCCACCTTTAGCCTTATACTAATTAACCTACTGCATTTGTGACTTCTGGCCTTCAAGGTAATGGTTTCTTTGGCCTACTGAGCTAAGACTGTGTTTATTTTATGTCGGCTGTAGAATGATTGCATTAGAATTTAATAGCAAAGGTGGTTAGTTTTGTTTGCAACAGTGGATTTGCAGTTTATTTTTATAAAATTAAAATACAAAAGGGAAACATCAAAATATGTAATTTGACAGATAGTTTTGTAATCACTTTTCTAATAATTTTCAGTGATGGTGCAAAAAGGTATAGTATCTATAAAATCTTCCTAGATATGTATGAGAATAATCAAATATCTAATTTTTCTCCTAGTATTCTAAATGACCATGTGGCAAAGGTTTTTCTGTTATAATCAGAATACCAATTGATATTAAAAAAATCATCATAATAGGAATTATTACGCAGTATTTTATCAGTAGTGTATAAAGCCTGACTTCAACAGTGATCACTTTGAAGGTGGTTTTGTGCTCTGAAAAAAAAACAAAAAAACAAACAAAACAAAGAACTATATCCCATGGGATAAAAATGTGTAGCTGACAAAACTGAATATTGTTGAATAAATTGGTAAAGGATAATGATTTTTTTTGTTTAGCTAATTTTWGATGGTGTCATAGATATTGGGCTGGTTTTTCTGGTCCAAGTTTACTCATTTCATTACATTATGCATATTTTGTATTTGCTCATTCTGCTTTCATTGCAGTAGGATTACTTTGAGAATGAGTAACTGGAATTTTCTATGCTTCTTTAGTATGATACAGCTTTTAGTTATTACAAAGAGGGATGCTTCACTTCTAAGCATTGTATACTATTTTCATGCTCCTACAATTAAAGCTTTAATAGGTGATTTATGTTGCTATGACATACAAGAGGGATTTTTTTCAGTCTCTAAGCTTTGGCTTTCTGTAGTGTGAATTTTTTTGAGTGTATAAGAATATCATRTATGGGACTTTTTTTTCTGTATAGGTTAGTCCTGCAGTTGTTGCCAAAGAGCTGTCAGTGTCTGACACAGAYGTATCAGAAGTATCCTGGACCGATAATGGAACCTTTAACTTATCCGAGGGATATTCTCCACAGACAGACACATCTGATGGTATGTGACAGCTTCATCTATATCATCAGTGGATTCCAGCCATGCAAGTTATCTCAAAATTAGACAGTTTGAGGACAGAAGGTTTTGGGGTTGTTACTTTTCCCTCTGAAATGACTTTAAGGTTAATTGTAGTGTTTTGTATAGTGTTGAATGCATCTTGTATAACAACTGTCCTCATCTTAAAAATATTGAAGTACATCAGCAAGTACATCAGTCTAAATAAATAAGTAGTGCTGGGTAAAGCCAACACATTCAGTAAGTGCCAGATGTAGCACTCTCTTCTACCAAACCTTTTAAGCAAATAAACCTTTTAAGCACTTTTAAGTGCTTTTGTGGCTAAAGTAAACAAATAAAAGCTGAGGAAGAAACAGTGAATACTCTGACTTGTTAAACAGACAATTAAAGAAAGYATTGTTAGGTTTTATTACTAGAAATGAAGACAGCCAGCAATGAGCCTATGAAGAGTTGGACTAGGAAAAGATTCTCAAGCACTTGGCTTAATCTTGACCAGAAAAAAGTTCTTACTTTTTACAGACCAAGCTATCAGTTAACACTTAGCCAGAATAAAGATTAAGGACAACAGTAGTTTGCTGTAATCTTTCCTGTCAGTGTGTTGCTCTGCTCATCTTGCATTTCTCCTAGGAAAAGTTCACTGTAAGTGACAAGCAGGATGATGCTACAGGTCAAATTAATAATTTAAATTATTTTCCTAATATTTCAAGTTGTAAATAGACAGCATTGTGTGATCACAGAACCATAAATTGTAAAACTCAATTGTCATTCATCTCATCTATCTTCCTATTCAAAGCAGGTTCAAAGCTCTTCACTAAAGCTTCATGAAATTTCTCAGGCTATTACCATTTGAATTCTGAACAGCTCCAGTGGTAGAGATTCAGCAACCTCCCTGGAAAGCCTTTTTCCATATTTGCTTTCCCTCGTGATGAAAAAGGCTTTTTCTTATAGTGAGTCAAAATTTCCCATGTTCCAGTTTGTATCAATTTATTCTGATCCTTTCACTGTTCACTSTCTAGAAGAGTCAGACCCATCTTCTCTGTACTTTGCCATTCAGTCGTTAAACTGATTCCGCCTTTGCCACCTCCTTTTAGGGCTGAACGAAGCCTATTCTCTCAGCATCTGCCTATACATCCCGTTCTCCAGCCCCCTGATTATGCTGGCCTTCCAGGGGATTCAGTCCTGTATGTCTTGGACTGGAGAGGTCAAAACTGTACTTCAATGTATACTTTCAGTTGCTGAATAGAGGAGGGAAATCCCTCCCATTGACTTTCTGCCTTCAATTTCGCTCTTACAGCTCAATGTGTGGTTGGCCTTCCTTGCTGCAAGGACATACCACTGACTTGCTGCCCACAGGTCTTTTTCAGGAAAGCCACTTTTTGTTTTGTTGCCCCCAACCTGTACTGCTGCACASAGTATTCCATCCCAGATGCACGACTTCACATTTGCTTTTGTTGAATGTCATAATGTTCCTTTTCAGCCTGTTCCTTTCTCCAGCCTGTCGAGGTTCCTCTGAAGGCATCCCGACCTCCAGAATATCAAATACACCTGCCCCTCAGCAGTTCCTTTCTGCCCATGAGCTTGCAGAGTGCACTCCATCCYGTCATTCAAGTCATTAATAAAAACCTTGAACAGTGCTGGTTTCAGTACCTGTGACTACAAAAACCAGTCTCCAGCTGCACCTTGTGTCACTGATGAAGCCCTTTGGCCCTGTCATTCCAGCCACTTTCCCACCCACCTTTCTCTTGCCCTGTTTGCCCACCAGCTTGGCTGTAAGGATCTTGTGAGAAACTGCTCAAAGCCTTGCTRAGTGAAAGAGAAACAACATCCGCTCTTCTTCCCCATGGAGCATTTCAGCACATGGGACATASACAGAAGTGCAACACCATATGGAATGCATCTGAGGACTGGCTCATCTCCTCTCAAAGCTCTATACATCTGAGCCACCATTCTGCATACAGCACAATCCTTCCTCCTCACCTTCCCAGCCTGTCTTTCTTAAAGAAAATGGAGGAAATGACAATATGAATCATTTTTACGATTTATTTCCTTAACCCTTATGAATGCACCTACAACAAGTTTCTATTGCTTGTTTGCAAAGAAAGTAAGTTCAAACTGATTAATTTTTACATTCTTATTCAAATAAGATGAAAGTATTCCCTTGGGCTTATTTAGGCCTGTTCTACAGGCCATGTACTCCAGGGTATGTTTTGCACATTTTTCTAATAACAAATATTGTGTCATTCATTAATGCAGYCATTAAAATGAAATGTTTTATTTGATTACATCCTACTTTTTATCCTCTTGAAAACGTGAAACAGTTCTGATCATCTATACAGTTTTCATTTTCTGTTTCCTTTTTAATACAAGCATTGGCCAAGAAAGGCAAATGAAAGTCTTTACACTGGTTTTATATCTTTATTTAAACAGAAACATTCTTTTTTATTGTTCCATATGCATGTTAAAATCTTGTAACATATCCTTACATGCTTATATATTTGTAGTTTAYGTATATTATGAAGAAAAATAAGTTTTTTAAAATTTTAGGACTTTATGTGGTTGATATATTTAGAAATAGCTGTGCTGAAGATTTGCATGGGTTGTTTCGTTACAGATAGATACCAAGGAAAGTTATCTTTAAAAAGGTATTTTGTTCAAATAGATGGATACAAGTTGATTTATATAGGTGCCAGATCTGTGACCTCAAAACTGTTCTGTTTTAGATGTCACACAAAGCTCCTTCTAGTAGAGAACTACCACAGTATGGATTAATATCCATAAGGATACTTATGGATACCACAGGGAYGCTTACTAACTGCATTTTTACATGTGGCTGCATTTTTGGGAAACCTTTTGTGAGCGCTAACAYTGTTTCCTTCTGTTAACCCTTCTGTAACAGATTTTGACCGACCTAGTGATCATGAAGAAGCTTTTGCTAGAGATCTTTTAGAGTTTCCCTCTTTAGAAAATGGTGCCGGCACAAATGATGACGACGACTCAAGCATCRGTTTGCCCACCCAGCAGAAGCGAAGGAAAGAGCAAACGGATGTCAAGGCTTCCAGACAGAGTAAAGAGAGACCATCCACTGCAGGGTTGTCCTTGCCTTTGACCAGTGACCAAACCTTTAATTTAATGAGTGGAATTGCTGGCGACGTCATCACGGCTGCGGTGTCTGCTGCCATCAAAGACCAGCTGCAGTCCCTACAGCMAGCTCCCTCACAGGCAGCGCCCAGTTTGAGTGAGGAGACAGACACAGAGGAGGCTGATGATTTTGAACTGCTTGACCAGTCTGAGCTAGAGCAGATTGAGAAAGAACTGGGACTTTCACAAGGCCAAGAAGCAGAATCCCAGGAAAAGAAAAAGTCTTCAGGCTTCCTTTCAAATCTGCTTGGGAGCCATTAACCTGGAAATTGCAGCTGGTAATGCAGAAGAAATTAAACATAAAACACAAAAAAATACCATCAAATGCAAAAAAAAAAAAAAAAAAAAAAAA